ACCAGCAGGGGTGGGGGGCTGTGGATCAGAAGTAAGGGGCATCAGCAGGGCTGGGACACTGTGGTTAGGGAATGAGCGGCACTGGTAGGGCTGGGGGGCTGTGGGTGGAGAGTGAGGGGCACCAGCAAGGCTAGGGGGCTGTAAGTTGGGAGTGAGGGCAATGGTATGAGTAGGACACCAGCATATCAGGGCTGCTCAGCACCACAAAGCAGTGTGGGGGAGACAGCCACAGCTGGACCCATGTCCTAGTTAGCGAAGGGGGTGGGGGGAGCTCTGATTTTCTATGATAAAAAACCCAAAGTCAAACGTTACAATTTATAGGTATTTAGAATTTTTTTATTATAGTGATTGAGGCACTGGTAGACTTCCAAATAGCTTTAAAATTGAAATCTATCACTGTGTTCAACAGATACCTTTATATATAGTGGTGTTTCATTTTAGTTACAGAAAAACACAGATTTGGAGGTTTTCAATTAGAGAATTTGTGATTTTTATCAGAGAATTTGCTATTTTAAAACAGAGAAAGCCAGGACCCCTGGTTATGAATGAGGCATGGGAATACAAGAAAAAAAGCAGCTGAATGTTGCCCTGAAGAACTGGATTCCATCAGAATGCATGTGTGTTACTAGGCATGTAACTTAGACCACACTTTTCATGGGTGATGACATCGTCCTCCGCCTTCAACTTTTTTTCTGTCCCACACTTAAGACCCTGGGATCTAATCTACAGAAGTGCTGAGCTCTCAAAGCTGCAACTAATGTTCAGAGAACATATGAAGTGCTATATAAGGCTGAGTAAGGCTGAGTGCAGCATCTGGTTTTAGGAATCTCAGCTTTGGCACCCAAATTAGTGGATACTTCTGATCTTAATCATTCTATGCCTCAGGGGCTAACAGTTAGGGCACTTTTTACATGTGCTCTGGGGATGGAGTTTGGGGGGACAGCACTTTAATTAGAGCAGCTCTTAGAGCCAGTGTTATTAAAGCACCACAACATCTCATGTATCAGTGTCCCTGTGCTTAAAAATGGTGGGAGGGGTGCCAACAACCTTTAGCTCAAGCACCCGCATCACTATTTCAAAGTACAGGGATGCTGATGCACAAGACTCAGGAGGCTGCTGGAGTGTGGTAACTGCTATGCTCTATCAGACTCAATTAATCAAGTCTGCTCCAACATGCTGTAATTACAGCACATCAGAGCAGCCTCCACGGTCATGTACAGGCACCCTAAAATGGCAAAAATTATTTTGTCTCGTTTCACAAGGACAGTGTGAAAGCACATGAAGTATGCAGATACTACAGTAAGGAGCACTATAAAAAAGTTCATCCAGAAAAAAATTAATGCCTTCAGAGCAGATCTTGCAAAAACAAGGCATGGAGATGCAAGTTGGACAATGAGGAGGAAACAACATTTTGAAATGTTTCCATTTGATGACTGAGGTAAGGGTTCTCTGGAAAAGACAGTATACGAAACTACATTTAAATATTGTAGCATATTGCTTATCAATACGAGACCTAATTCAGATTCCACCAGCCACTTAAATTTTGGAGTTTCCTCATTTTTTATTGACTTCGTAAGATTAATAGTTTCCTTTTTAATTTATTTGTGTATGTAGTAGGGCACATGTGCACGCATACACACCCACACACACACACACAAGGTAAAAGGCAATGTCCCTTTAAACCTTTACCATAATACTGGAACACTGACATGATTTCTCCTTTTCAATCAATTATAAAATGAGAAACAGGAGACTACACACAGCAATCAACCTGTGGATTTCAGTGCCTTGGTATACTAAGGGTGGATTTCAGTGGTTACATAATCATAGGGCTGCTGAAAAAAAATACATAATTATTTTATATCTGATCATTAGTATACAGGGGAACTGTCAGCGTTCCACAACAAAGCAACCGCTGCCTAGGGCTAGGAAGAAACACTCTCAAAAGCAGAGTATTACATATATTGTTCATTACGGAGTTTCTTGCACCTTCTTCTAATGCATCGGATATTAGCTTCTGATTAAATCAGGTTGATGGATTCAGTGTTGGATTAGATGAACCATTAGTCTTACCAAGTATGTAAAGTCCTGTGTAGGGATGTATACACAAAAATATGATACCCGATTCCATACAGAACCTCATACATATGAATTATGAATGGAAGAAAGGCCTAGATCACTGGAGGTCAACTTTCAAATTTATTTAAAACATTGAAAAAACAAATTATTGTTCTTTTCTTAGTCCCTATGATCAAGGGGTAAAAAAACCTCACTGGAATATTTTCACATTGTATTACATTATTGCTGATGTTCCTCTTAAATGGAAAGGTTCTGCATAGTATTTATGAGCTATCCATAATCAAAGAGTTCACCTGGTAACACAAGAATAATTTTTTTAACACCATTTCCTTAATGCATTCTAACCTAGCTTGTTGGAATGAAAAGTAACAAAAAACTGAGAAGGCTTCCTTTTACAGGGCCTCTGTATTGCGGACAACACAGTAGAGATACTTGAGTCTAGTTTATAAGAAAAAATTCTGGAACTCGTAATACTGCCTTTTCTCAATCAAATGAAAGGAAACAAGGTTATTACAATTAAAATTTGGCATCACTCCTGAAAGATAGTGCTTCGGATATACACACATAATTACTTCCACTTGTAAAGTTTAAATAAAAGTATATCATTTGTCAGCACTTGAAACTCACAAGTTCACAACAATTACTGCAGCTAGAAAACAAGCTTCCTAAAAGTAGAGCCTATAAATACCTAGAGCCAGCAGACTCTGATATAGCTGCAGTGTACCCTTCTTACATCCCCCCAGTAAAGGGTCATACACTTTCATTTCCTCCAAGTACCCCCTTTCTTGGGGTTCTGGTTTATTAAAAGAACCAAGTTAAAAAGTCAACTTACACACTTTCTTCAGGCTCCTGCTGTGCCCATTGATTCTTTCCCAAAACCAAGGCACTGCTACCTTGCACACCCTAAACTTCCTATTTTAAAAGGTTACCCCTCATAGCATTTAGCTCTAGGCCAACCTTTCCATTTACCTGGTGTGGAAAATCCCTCTCTAGATAGTCTGTACCTCTTGACTCCTTCCTGCTACCCACTAGTGTCCATCCAAAATGCTTCATCTGGGCACTCTGGAAAATTGTTACTAACCTACCTTATCCCCAAACAGGACACCTAAACTCAGACTTTCTGTACACCCCAAACTGGACACACAACTCAGTTTTGCATTCTGATTCCCTGTCATATGACCTCTGGACTAAGTAGTAAAATAGTCACAGGTGCTGCTAAACACAAACCTGCCTTAAAGGACAGCTCGGTCTATAATAGTCACTATATTCCCAATAGAAAAATTGCAATAAAAAAGTAGTTGTAAACATTAAAGTGTTTATTACTGGACTTAAATATGACTCCTTTTCATATTGTCATGGTCATTTTGAAACCTTAATGGGCAAGGGCACCATTTATTCTATTAGACTCGTACAACATACATTTGCTCCATGGCTCTGCATGCTCCTTGAATTTGCCCCCAGTGGTATTCCTTCCATACTTGTCCCATACCTATGTTTGTTGGGGGCAGTGTGGGAAGCCACAAGGATATATCAGCTGAAGTTCTCAAGTTCTAGTCTGTACATATTGCCATCACCACTTTCTCACTACAACATTTTTGAGCATCCTTGTTGATTGCAGTGGCGGTGGGGGGTTGGTAGCTCCTGCTTTCTTGGTACATGCCCATGCTACATACTTGTATTTCTAGAGTAGACTTTCCCTGTGAACTCAGTTCGCTCGTATTTACAATAGCTGCAAACTCATGAAGGAGTGGTCCCCTTACTGGGAGCATGGATTTACTTAATCTAAGAACATGCGACACTGATATAGTAGTTCTACTTCTACTGCAATTAGTCCTTGAAACAAATGCTCGGTGACACCACATGCTCTGGACAATGTATGGGGATGTTCCTGGATTTTGTTTCCTGACTGTCATTCTTAGGCTGAATGCTTGGCATTTTGTGTGACTGATTGCTACATATTAGTTTCAAGCTTGCTCTCTAAAGGTATTCCCAGAGCCAGCAGGGGCCTGCTACTCCTTTGCCAGATTTCTTGAATGACAGATTTGCTGCTGATTTCTATCTCTGTTTTGTCTCTGCATGTAAGTTCTGTGCCAAAAGCTCAAACTCCTTGTCACTCTTCCTCTACGACAAACAGTTTATAGGATATTGCCCAGGAGTATGGCATTCAAATTAAATTTTGCAAAGGATGTGTTGAGAACAAAGCTACGTAACTGCAAGCTAAAAGAACTAAACAATTTACATAACATTATTTATGCAACCATGATTTATTTGTAGATATGTATCTGTTACCCAAACTTAATATTATTTCTGTTTCTTTCTCTGCTCCAGAATGGAAAGATGGCAAATTTCCAAATTCAACTAAAACTGCTCATTAATATGACAATCTTCAGCTTTAAAGCTGAATTATTTGATGTTTTAGTTCAAGCCACATAACATACTGTCATTATGTCCAACCAAGACCCAAGCATGCCTGTTTCCACATTTAGAGATTTCCCACCATTTTTATTTTATACACGGATTCCATTAATATGAGGTTAATCTGCTCTATAGCAACACAGTCCTGTCATTTGGATAGCGACATAACTCTTCAGATGGATAGATTTAACTATTTTTAAACATAACATTAATTTTGCTGTATTGATAGTAAGACCTTATAGTAAGTACTCTCTCAGTAGCCTTAAATCATCATTTCTATAAAGAGCCCTGATTTGTGCTGACACCTGATCTTGAGAGATGCTACATACCCATAACTAGAAGTTGAAAGTGCTCAGCACGTACCAGGATTGGGTCTTTATACTGCACTGAAGGAGGAAACTAAAATGAAACATGAGGAAGGCACCTGTCCTGCTCTCAGAAGGTTGTGGTTCTATGAAAAATGCTATAGCCCAATGCAATCAAGAAGCCTAGACCTCATAACTTACCCCTTCTGCTTTTTCTTCAGTGTTTGCCAGCATTTCTTGAAGAGCCCGCACTGACAAGGACTGTTCCAGCACAAAAGTACAAATGGAGAGATCTGGTGGAACATTCTAAATGAAGAAAGAATGAGATTACATGAGTGAGGTGTATGCCATCAGTCAAAAGTTGTTATAAATCAATTCCTAAAGCTGCCACATTTGTTCTACCCTTGTTCCCCTATCCTTAATCATTCAGGTTCAGTAAGAAAATGCTGCTTTTCTTCTGTACCACCCTTTGCTACCAAGAACCAATGAATAGAAATATCAATTTCAGACTTTTTCCAAGAAAATCAGTTCAATAGTTAAGCCATGTTTAGTAGAGTGCTACTCTCCAGTGCCTTCTTTTAGAAGACACTCCTCCAGCATCTTCCCTCTCCCACTCCTTGCCCACCCCAGGAGCATGTTGCACCCTATACTCTGCTTCTCCAGCAGGGAGCAGAACATGTTCCTGTGCTGCAGGGAAATACAGGCTCACCACTGGCAGTCTGGGTCAGCCAATCAGGACTACCCTATGCATTTCTGCCATCTGTCACAAGGCAGACTAAAGGAGCCTGCAGAACACCTTGAGATGTGTGCACAGGGGCTCTCCCCGGCTACACAGTGTCAGCACTGCGAACTTCAGGACCTCAGCATGAGGTTGTGAGTAAGTTTTTCTCCCAGGAGAACAAACCTGGAAGAACTCTCCCAAATTACTTGAATGTGTATATGCAGCCCCAGTCAGGCCACTAGTTCAATGCAGACAGATGTAACTGTTGAAACATTTCAAATGTCTTTGAAATGCTTTAAAGGAGAAACTACAGAAAGACACATTGAAACAGGTACTACTACTGTTCAGAAGTGTTTCAAAATGTATCACTTTCTGTTATGTACAGATGTGATGAGCACAACAAAGGACCCTTTGCTCCTCCAGCTTTGCTCACCACCCTGGAGGGAAGATTATAAACTGCTGTAGTCAGGGGGCACACCAGGGGCTATGTGCATGTCTGGTGGCTCATAACACAACATTTTGAAATATTTCCAAGTCCTTTATACTTTGAACCACTAAGTATTACATCTGTCTGAATCCTAATACTACTAGACTTTTCTGTCAAGTATCTACAATGCATTCCATTTATGGGAATAGTATTGGAAGGGAGGAAAAACATATGCTTACTCATTAACTACAAAACAGTCTGCACTAAGTTTTTTGCATCTCATTAAGGGTCATTATCTTGTCTCTCAGAATACCTTATACCTCTGACAGCAACCTTGAAATTGATAGAAACTGGCCAGTTCAAGGCTGCTTTAAAAGCCTTTGCATTGACAGCTCCTAGTCAGTATCAATAATGATGCAGATAAAAGGAGTACAATTAGACTGCAAAGTACACAGTGGGGCTAAGAACTCCTATGCATTAAAAAAATATGTACTTAAATAATATGCAGATAACCAATGTTTGCTAAAATGTATTCAATGGGCAACAAATGGGACTGGACTTTCATTATGTAGTTAAACAAATTATGTACTTATCCAATATACGCATAAGTGGAATATGATTTACAAAAGATAATTATTAAATGCTTAGGGTGAAGACAAAGATGCAGAGAAATCAGAATTACAGACTAGCATGAAAATGAGTTGTTGCAAGAGAATAATATCTATTGTGTTTACCTGACTAGAAGAGTCCCCCTCCCTCCCTCCCAATTAGCATAGGGAAAAATTCCCTAGCCTTCTATTTGTATACAACGAAACCTCATTAAATACACTGACTATCATTAAACTGCTGCCAAAAGCAGCATGTGCTCAGTAATGGAAATCAACTATGAAGTTAAGTGCAGCCAACACTGAGCATGACTATATAACACACAGCCCATAATGATGGGAACTTATCACAAAAAATAGGTTTTGTTTGATTTTGGTTTTGTAAAAATATATGTCTATACACACACATATATATATATACACACACTAGTAATTTTTCATCACATACCTTATCTCACAAAACAAAACCCATTATAATACAAGCACCCATGGACCCACACTCCCGCACAACCGCCCAGCGGCCTCCCTACCCTGCTCACACTGTTCCTTACTCCACAACCTGGTTACAAGGTTTAAAGTCTCAGTTTATTCATTGTCACTGTCACTCCCACTGGAGGATACGCTGCTGTCCTCATCACTGTCTCCAGGTCCAGCTGTCTTGTCATCCTCTTCACTGTCACTGTCCATTCCCCCCTCTAGGGGGATCTTGGAAGTTCCTGTGCCAAGTGGCCTTTTGCCAGGTAGAGCTGGCTGCATCCTCATCGTCCTCTGCTACCAGCACCTCCAGGTTTGTGTCTGTACATCAGGAGGTTCCTGGATTTCCACAGGGCACTCCTGATGCAGGACACAAACTGATCAAAGTGGGCCAAACAGGTTCCCCTGGTGTTTAGTCAGGTACCCGCACAGTGCTGCCTCTCTTGACAACTGTCCAACCCCTGTCACCACTTTGCAGAGCTGCTTTACCTTTTTCCACCTCTCCTTGGCATATGAGCAAACCCATAGGTGGTGGTCAATAGTCTTTGTGGCACCTTGGCAGGTTAATGGAGGCCATCTGAATAAGATATATGGTAACGCCTGTTGTCTATGGTCACCCTCAATGCCAACTCTTTTTAAACTCATGGTAAGCCACAACACTGCATACATTGTAACTTCTTTGTCACTCCCACAGCTGAACTGTGCCTTTCTTTCCCATTTCTAATCACTCCCGTTTCTTTACCAGCCTTAAATGTCTGGCAAACACAACTAAAAGGGACCCTTCCAGAACCCCTCTGTCATCCCCGCTCTCAGCCTGCTGCATATGATTAGTGTGGCCCCACCCTCCATGAGGTGCAGTCAGACCAGGTTGCCCTCATTTGCATAAAAAATGTTGAAGGATCCCAAGACTTATGACAGGAACACCCAGTTCCAGTCATGAATGGGGGATTCCTTTTCACATGGATCCTTTGTGGGGGGTGGGATGTGGAATACACACAAATATTAAGCAGTGCTGAGTCACAATGGCTTGAAACACTGTTGACTCTGCTGAGGCCCAATCCATTGAACTATATGGTAAATCATGTGCCTTTTGGCTTTAGAGTAATATCATGCATAGTTTGTGCTATATATAAAAAGGTACAAAAGTACTGCTTAAAAGTATGTTTATAGAGTATCTGTGATAAAGCGTGCATCATTTTTAAAACAGGTAAAATGCATCAATTCTGGGTGAATTGCCAATATGCAACTTACTACAGGTATATTTATTCCCAGGTCAGTGTTTTCAAATTTGCACATTACTGCCACGTGCCCATGGACAGCATGGTCTGAAAATTAAGGATGGGGAGAAGGGGCTGCAGGGAGGGAAAGTTGGGAGGGCAGAGGGCAAGGATTTATTTTCCCTGCTGTAGCAATGGGAGGAGGACAAATTCAAGACAGATCTCCAATAATTAAATTCTGTACCTGGAAAATTATAACATCTATAAATTTTCCATATACAAAACCTAATTATTGGGAACGATCATACATTCAGGGTCATTGTATATTCAAGTAAATACAGTAATTTACAACGTAACAAAGAACAATTAGTCTGTACGTGGGGGATTTTTCATATGTTAATCTGTGTATTTTTACTCCTACTTCTACACCTTGTTTCTCATCTCCCATCCTTCTTTTTTCTTCCTTTGTACTTGCTCTTTTCTTCAGCATGAATTATTTAGTTTTAGTAATATAAAGATTTAAAGTATCATGTACTTTTTTTCCTATTGTAGGATTGTGCTTATTGAACTTTTCTGTAAAAGTTTTTTTTTTTTAATAAACCTTTAAATAAAGAGATCTTGCAAGTATAAAAACAATTTCATTTTCTCTAGAAAGAAAGCACCAATATATTTGGAACTGAACCTAATCCTAATAGCTCACTATGCACTTATTATCACCACTAACTTTAGAGCAATATTTGTCTGTCTAAAAAGTAATACTCACTTAATAATGTACATTACCTTCTGTGATTTAATTTTTTAATAAACTAACACAAAATGCTGTTTCATTTAAATGTTATTCAGAAGCAGGAGTTAAGCAAAGGCCAAACCTATTTACTTACTTTATACTATTTATTTAAATTATTTTATAGACTCATTATGGTATAAGGCATGTATTAAAACTATGCATTCAGTTATTTATTTTTTTTTTTTTTTTCAGATGTCAAGGACAATATCCTCCTTCTCCATTAATTTCATTACCACTTACTTCCATGGCTTTGCACTAACTACCTAGTTATTAATGGGTATCCTTTATCCTAGTATTAAGTGGGGTTGAGCAGTCAACTTATGGGGGGAGAAGTGAAAACTAGCAGCCTCCTTTACTGCCAGCCCAGTATCACCATCACCACTGCTGACAACCCAGCCTCTGCCACTGTTATATGCACCACCACTATCCACGGTGCAGAACTGGCCGCAGCTACACCTCTAACCCTCCACAAAATTTTCAACAAGCTTGTTCTCACAACATCCCTGTGACATGGTTCCTCTAATTTTGCTGAGACATTCAGAGTATAATTGTGCTTGATGCTGCACACCCAGGTGAGGACCACTTTAAAAAAACCTTCATAGCTTTACAATGTAGTCAAGTCTCAAAGAACTGAATTGCCTGGACAAACCTAGCCCTTGATATACCCTTATCAGTAAAGATTTGGGGCCACATTTATTCCTGATCTCCACCCCCACTGCCTACAAAAAAAAAAAATTACCACATGCATTGTGCTTAAAAATCAATTAACTTGGGGCCTGCTAGACTACTTTCTCTCTACTTTTCTTTTGTTGATATTTACCAGTTTTCTGTGTTTGTTATATGAACATCCTTAACCTCTACTTCATAAATGTTTTAAGTTAACTTTCCTCTTATAGTGCCCCTATATTTTAATATTTAAATTCCCTTATATTAAAACCCTTGCTTTCTGCAAGTCCATTCATAGAAGCTGACAAAGTAGGCTGTCACCTTCAAAACCCTATGCCTCTCTCAACCAGCTAGTCTCTAAGGTGCCACCCTACCCTTTCTTCTGCCTTTCCTCTTGTGGATGTTGCTG